GCAAGGGATTACTTTATTTTTTGTCGTCATTAAAAGAGTCAGTTGGTGGTCATACTGAAACAGAACCACGCAAAACCGGTTTATTAATGCTCAGCACATTATTATGGTATATCGAGTGATAGACTGATACAGACGGTTCGACCCGTATCTCACGGTTCTTCTACAAAGTAAGGTTAGCTTGGTTGTAATCATCAATCTAGTTGTCTGCAACAGCTTATCTTGTGCATTCATAGTGCTGCCCCAGACAACGACATCAGCGATTGCAACAACCAACTACCTTATCCTTAAGAAGGCCTGTGAGATACGGACCGCTGTCGATATATGTATCAACAAATGGTTTTTATGTTGCTTTTTCAACATTTTATTTCTTGTACTGTTGAAAAATCGGATTCTTTAGTGATCCCATTCAAGCAATATGTTTTATTCATTAATGAAAGACAGAGGCTCGTCTCCCTATACCTCGTCACAAAACTCCACGTTGCGTTCTTGTTTGTTTTGTTAACCATGCTAAGTTTCAACTTCTGTGTAAGGTTGCATTTGTCCACTGCACATAGATAATATTGCCAAGTTCTCAGTGTGAAAAGCGAAAGACCTTGTCATTGAAATGCACTATAAAATTAACAGTTCAGATACTTAACTGTTTTCTGGGCCTCGGTCTCCTTTATTATTTTTGTTTTTGATTTGTCTGAAATTGTTTGTTACAGAATTGCTTTGTCAGTTGTCGGTTTTGCTGCTGAAGTTTAAAATTCCTCCAGTTTGAGGCAGATCGAAGGCACTGTATCGCGAACTTTCCCCTACAGCACCTGCCAGTTATTATTGCTGCGAAATGAGGTATGTGAGATAGTTTTATACACTTAGAACTATCTCATGTCGTTAATATTTGTTTGTGATTTTAGGATTCACGTCATGCCACTCCAGAAGACATTAATATACTTCTGTGGAAGAAGGTGGAAAAGTTTTCGGGCCAACCAGATTTTGGTTTGGAATTAGAAAAAATTTTTCTTCAGTTGTCTAAACTCAGATATTTTAAGGCTCGAGCCGAGAAAAAAAGCCCAGCTAACTTGGCGATGCAACATTTCGATTTCTATTATAAGCCGATATTCAGGAAACGATGGCCGTCTATAAGGATCGGCTTATTATCCGATCCAAAATATTGTGCGGTAGTGAACAATTATGCAGCCGACCCAGATGTGATCCAACGCTTGTTGGACGATGGCGCTGTGGATATAATAGACAAAGTGAAAAAACGGAAGGCGTTATTTCATTCTAAACTCAAAGGACTGTTCCCTGACAATGTGAACGCTTCGTCAAATATGCCATCCCGGGTCGGAGGAGACAGCATGTATCCTTCTGATGCTGATGGCTGTGATGATGATGCGGGCTTTCGAAGCGAATCCGGCTTGTCGATGTTTCTGCCGCCTGTCGACATGATAGTTCGTGAAACAACGTCTGCTACATTAGCGTAAGTTTGTTCTCTTATGTTATTCTCGAGGCAGTTAGTTTCAGACGTAGTACAGAGTATAAGTGTAGAACGCATGGAAAGGAGAGAACGGGAAAGTTTTGTGATCTCTTCAGTGTCCGACTTTCTTATACCCTGATAGTTGTTGCGCTTATCTTTCATGGCGTTTGTGATGCTGCATTGGTCTCTATTTTTTTCAGTAAGCAATCGGGTCTTATTTTAGCGGAAAACATTCGCAGCTGTGAAACAAACGTAACTGCAATTTTCCCTTTCTACCTCGCGAATGGCAGTACTCGCTGTTTCTTCATGAAATGTAAATAGGCGAGCGATTTTGGGCAGAGTTTGAACCTATGATCTTTTGATCACCGCCTTAAAGCTTATCCGATTGATCATTTTGTAGTATATCCAGTTCATTTACACAAGGAATAAATCTTATGCAAGTGAATAACTTATCAGATATAAGCATGAAGCATCACTAAGTTTTGATGTTAAGAAAAGGTGTTTCTGCTGGTGTCTGTGGCCACTGTATTAATGGTAACTTCGATCTGTCAATTTTGTTTTCAAGGTATTTCGCTTTAATCACTTGTCTCTTAGACTTGACAGCGCAGACACACCCCTGTACGACCTCAAGAATCAGGTCTTGCCAGACGATGTACAGTACCCATCTGTCCTGCAAGTGCTTGCATATCCATCTGGTGACATAACGACATTCAAGCCATCTCCAGCATTTTCCAACGGATGTCTTGGTAATAAATACAGGAACGACTTTTCTTCAGTCTCTTTTAACAGTGCGGCGGCCCTACCCCAGCGTGAGGAGTTGGAGCATCCTGAGATGATTGCCTTGAGAATTTTTGACAAAGTTCTTAAGAACCTTTGGTATAGTCTATCATGAATTTGCATAGATATTTGAGCACCGTATAAGTTCAGTGCACTTCTTGCCTAAACTTAATATTTGTGATCTACCGCTTATAGCAGACTGGCAAACGGAGGCGTTGCAAAGTCTTAGCGAAAAATGTTGTCCTTAATATTTCTATCTCCATTATGATTTTCTAATTGTCTCTGTTTATGACACTGTTCTTCCATGTAGCTTATTGCCGTTTCGATGGCATTAACATGAAAATTAATGATTTGCAAAGGAGATATCTTCAGCTTGTCAGAAAACACTGTGCTTATGTTAGACTTTCCTTCCCGTGACCAGTTTATAATGGTTATATACATTTGTCTATACAGAAAACATGTAAGGTGATTAATTCTGTTTAAGATTCGAACCCGCTATTCGCACTCCTTCAGTTGATCCTTTTCTACTGAACCCTCAGGCTTCACGCGATAGAAAGCACGATGAAATGTAAAAGTTTATTCGCTTGATCTCTTTTAGTCTACTACCTTATGGACGCCGCTTCGGTTGTTCCCGTTCTTGCTCTCGGAATACAGCCCGGCGACACTGTTTTGGACATGTGCGCAGCACCCGGAGGAAAGTCAATTGTTGCGCTGCAGACTCTACTACCAGGTGAATTTCTTGCAGTACCTGTCTGCATCGCTTGAGTTTTATGTTTAATTCCAATTATTGATTTCGTCTAATATTTGCTCTCAACTGGAATCAGTTTTCAGATTATCCCCAAACACTTTCAAATAATTTAGTGGCAAACGCAATAAACATTAACTTATCGTAAGTCACATGAATTCGCCGTTGCCGCTCCCAAGCCCTAACGAGAAAGGAGAAGGGTTGGAGACCGTGGCAAGTCTCCGTAAAATTCAGCCACCTGCCACTCATGGTATTG